CATCAGTTTACCCCTTGGTAATCCACAGAATTGATCAAATCTCTTTTGTCACAGGGTAACTTGTGAAATATTAAACCTTCCTATTTTTCCTTCGATCTCCTAATCCAGTGCTTTGCACATAAAAAAAAAAAAGTTAAATAACCTTCCTTCCTCCCTCACTCATCAATGTTACCAAGAGTGGGATAAGGTGGCATATTCTCTAAAAGATATTTTATTGATTTCATAATGTCTTTCATTTCACTATATGGTTTTAAGAAAAATAGGAATACAACAGCCAAGAACTCAGAAATTCAATACATAAATACATTCTTCCACCATAATAGCTTTCTCACCTATTTAAGTTTTTCTCAGTCTCCACTACAAGCAGTTTCTTTAATGCTGTTGGGTGCCCCCTGTAGACAAAGACAAGCTGGGACAAACGGCCCAGCTCCGCCAGGAAGAGTTCATCCTCAAAGGGAAATGTTCTTCTCACCTCTAGAATCCCCTGAGTTTCCTGGGCGGACTCAGCGCTTCATACGCAGCCTGGATCTCCAGGAAGTGCCTCTGAGCCTCTTCTGTCTGGTGCGGGTTGTGGTCAGGGTGCCAGATCTTCACTAGCTCCCGATATCTCTGATGTATTTCTTCATTTGTTGCCCCTTCTAAGAGACCCAAAACCTTAGAGAAACAGAAGCTGACAAATTAGAATCCCGTAAGTTGTCAGGATACCTGGGCTTTCTCTGCTCCCTTCTTAAATCAGGCTGTGATATCTCTGGGATAGGCTCCTACTTGGCATGAAAAGGCCTAGAGCCTCACATTAGAATTCCAGCTCTGGATCTCAAGGCAAGAACCAAAATTTGCCTTTAATCACAGCTGCCTATTTTCCAACCTAGAACTTCACACCCCTGACAGGATCTCTTCCTCGCAAAAGAAATAAGCATGTGTGTCCACCAAAGACATGTGCAAGAATGTTCATAGCAGCTTTATTCAGAATAGTCCCCTCCTGGAGCCCAAATGTTCATTAACAACAAAGTGGATACATAAATTCTGGTATGTTCGTATAATGGGATACTATTAAACAAGAAAACAAGCATTTTACAATTGTGTGCGACAGTATGGATAAATCTCACAGACATAATGTTGAATGAAAGCAGACACAAAAGAGTACATACTGAATGGTCCACTTATACGAAGTTCAAGACTGGGCAAAACTAAACTATGGTAACAGAAGTCAGAATAGAGGTT